AGTTGACCATCAAATAATGGAATTTAGGATGCACAACATTATCTTCCATATCCCAAGTTGTGGTGCTGATAACATGAACCAATTTTGGAGTGGAACTTATCTTCCATTGACCTAGCATTAGGATTAGATGAAAATGTTTGTTATTACTCTCTAATTTATTTATTTTAACTAGTTTCTCACACAATAAGAGCTTGCGTAATTGGTCAAGCACCTTATTTTGACATGGGTTCGTTGTGAAACATAACTCAAAATTCAAACAGTTTCTAAGTGTACGTTTGGTAACTACAAAAGGAGAATAGACTGTCTCCTTTAATTAGGCCAAAGTTGGTCCAACCAAGAGTTGGTCCAAAAGAGAACTTGTTTAAAGGGTAAAATTTGAACTAGAGAAAACTAGTTTTGCTTCAACTTTTGCCAAACTAAAAACTAGCCACTAAAACTAGTTTTGTGAAGTTGACAAACACACCCTAAAATTTGAACAAATTTATCTAGTAGGCTCCAACACAATATCAATAAAATGAGTATTTGATATGTCAGCAAATGGATATTTTTTTATCACGCAATAGGAACTAGGTGAACACTTATGACTTATAGTAGAAGAGCTCAAAGATTAAAAGCAAACTAATTAATGATATCTTTAACTAAAGATTTGCAAAATTAATACTTCCCACAGAAAGAGGGACAAAAACAAAACAAAGAAACATCTAGAGGGGAAAGGGCGGGATTCACCACTTTTATTAAATAAAAAACATTAGGAACATGCTCATATTAATTAAAACACACTCATCTATGCTAATTCTTGGCATGTAAGCTATTTTGTTGACTTTGTTTCAAATCTAAACTTTTTTAGCCTTAAAAGAGGATCTCATATCACGGTTGAAAGACACGTGGACACATTTTCCTTTTTCTTTACTAGTTTCGTTCCGTGGCACTAGAAAATATTGCTTATAAAATTTCGTAAATCTTATCTAGATAATTTTGGAAATAAGTATGCATTGACGTGACATAAAAGGATATATTCTTTGATCCTTAACGATGTTTTGATTAAGCAAAGATAAACCCACTAGGATGAATTTGACAGAAGAGGAAAGATATGCGAACCTTTCATTAATGACTATGATGTATAAGATAGAACTTGTCAAGGGTTTATTTGGAGGGACCAAAGTTAGGTTGGATTTCAAAGAAAAGTGAAATTTTAATCAACTGACCATTTTATTCCACCTACTCAACATTTTTCTACTGTATATTGTGCATGTGGAGGATAAGCAATAAGAGGAAGACGCGCGGCAGGGGGTAGGGGGGAGGAGGCGGGGTGGGGGGTGGCCACCACAGAGTTTTGGAAGGAATAAGAGCAACGATTTCAATGTGGGGCCCCTTAAATCACTAGCGTTGCGCTAAGGCGCGAGTACTTTGTAGCCTTCGATGACAAAGCCGAGTTTTTTGTTGTTCTTCGAGCATTGCTATTTGTCTGCGGCCAACACGAGCCCAACTCGAATGCTGAGAGGAACAGGCGGCGTGGACCACACTGCCTGTGGGGCGCCACCCCCCGATTCCTCTCACGCCGCAGTTGCGGGCTCGCGGTTGCTGCTCGCGAGCCAAATAGTTTTTTTGTTGTTCTCTTGTCCTAATCTTCATTTTCTTTTTTGTTAGGGGGAGTAAATGATTACCACATTTTATATTATTTTATATTTTTATTTATTATTTATAATTTTATACTATTTAAATTGGTGCTCGGATATTTTAAGTGTGTTTTTTAGGAATTTAATTTTTAATAAAGAAAAGCCAAAAGAAGCCCTTTGAAGTATAAATGCCCAATTTCTTCAATCAGATCTCCAACAGTAAATCAAGATAACTCAAGAAAAAGAAAAAAAAGGCAACAACCAATTATTTGAAAGCTAAGAAGAAGAAAAGTCAAAAACAAAATCATGTTCGGATTCATAATCATGTTTATGGATTTGCAAGTTCATAGCTCATCGATGACCAAATCCTCTCCTCATTAGTGAGGACCTCATGCTCATTGATGAGTATGAATCGGCCTGCACTCATTGGAGAGATTTAATTACTCGAAGATCAAGTCAAATTGTACGGTTGCGAGGGATGTTTGTATTGTATGAATAGGGACCTACGATTATTGCATTTTACACATTCAACTCTTGAGAAATCAATAAAGTTCTTCTTTCTTGCTTGCTATTTTGGAGTAGGAGTTCTTTTTTAGTTTTTCTTCAATTTAGTAAGTTCTTAGTTTCTGCACTTTATTTATTTGTTTTTATTTTTTTCTCTTCTTTCTGCTTTAATTCTTTTTAATTTTTTAGATCACCATAACTAATCTATATAAATAAAAAGATATATTTATGTTAAATAAAGATATTGATTAGTTTAAATTAATAAAAGCTAAGGGTTGATTATAGTTTGATAGGTTATAACATATACTTTGGAGATTAAATCCTAGTAATAAAAAGTTTATATTAATTAATTTAAAAATTAGGGTTAATTAAAATTTGATAGGCTATAGGCTTTAATTAGGCATAACCTATTCTTAGGAGATTAAATCCTAGTGATAATTGCTAGGATTAACTAAAACGTAACATACCTTATACTTTCAGGGTTCTAGTAAATAAAAGAGATCAAATAAAAGATCTAGTTTAGAAAACCTAGTGGAGTAAACCTAGGTAACCTATCATAGTTTATAAAAAAAACCGGCATCTTTCAATCAAAAGCCTTCTTCAAATCCTAAGATCTTAAGATAGAAACCTCCTAATAACTAAATTTTCCCAAAGGACGATCTATGCATTTGCAGAATACATAGAAAGAACACATCAATAAACAAATACAAATATTGATTACTCTAAAAGATAATCACTTCATATTATTCCACTTAAATATGACCCCAGAGACAAAACTATTATTGCTATGGCTAGTCTCATTCGATTTATGGCAAGCTACTGAATTTGAACCTAATTTGAGTTTGATTATCACTTGTATTTGAGTCCGTATAATAATAATCACATTTATCCAGAGAAGACAAAAATAAAAGTCCAATAATTAGCGCTCTTTTACATTTTCACTCTCTCAATATATCAACTTAAGAATCAAGTGCAGATAGCAATGGTCTTCCTAGCCCTCATGGGTAGTGGCCTCCTTGTTAGCAATTCTTTTCATTTTTGTTTTTTCAGATTCAGATTTGGTTATACCCTGCTTTTTGTAGTTTCTGTTAGATGTTTTGTTTTGGATCTCTTCATAGAGACATCTTTTGGTGATTTGGTCTAATACCCTCCAACTCGGAGTCTCGGGCCAAATCACAATCAAATATCTTTTGTAAAAACTCTCTTTTTGGTTTATATATACATGATAGGGCAGTATGCCTTATTTTCATTCAAAAAAAAATATCAACTTAAGAAAACACACGTAGAGATCCTAGAGGATGTCTTGGTGGTACAACATTCCTTCACATCATCGGAGTTTTGTTTCACAGTTCAGTGTTTACACCACTTCACCCAACAAAATATGACTCATCACACCAATTCCATTAATGGACAAAGTAATAGTGTAACATAGGAGAGAAGTTCTTCAACAAAAATAAGATAAAATAACAAATAAAAAATAGAAAATAAATAAATAAATAGTAGTAGTAGTAGTAGTAATAAAAGGGGAGAAGTACTTTGTAGACAAGAGCCCACAAACACCAAGTAGGGTGAGTGAACTAAAAGGTAAGCTAACCATTACATGATTAGTGAAGCCAAAATTCAGCAAATATTAGAGCTGAATTGTGGATAAGGGTCGTCGTTATCAAACACTTTCCATTTTAAAAAAAAAAAGCGTTTTTCTTTCCTTTCCTTTCTTTCCAAATCAACCGAAGGATTGCAATGACTTCATTTTATGATAATACTTACATAATGCTTTTGTCACTTTTAACATCGTTGAATTTTCAAATACAGCTCTTAGGTCTGCTCACATCTAACTCAACACACAATCAGTCTTATCAGTTCTACTGTTGAACATCGAGCTTTGTTGGATAAACTCCAAGGGGGAGGAGGCAAGCAAAAAAGAGCTGGCTGAAACTTTTTCAGTACCAACTTGCGCATATTTCTTGGTGCCTCATTGTTGGCATCGGACGAGGAGCTTTTGAAGGGATGGTGACGTGCGAACCACTCGCGTTTTGCTCGCTCCCGCTTTTGTTATGGCCTGTAATCCATCCAACTTGGGTGGCACTTGTTGCCGTGGTTTGTACCACATTCTGGTTTTCATGACCACATGTTTTCCTTTTGTCTCCATGGATCTAGATCTTGTATCCTATCATTACTTGCAAAAAGTTACCATGGCGGTTGCATTCTTGTATGGACGCCTTAATCGAGCGAGGGACATGCAATATTCCCTTTCAGAGGACAATCCGTTGCTCACCCTTTTCTGATTGTCTTCTCTGGGCCGTACAAATCAGGATCCTGTGAGCTGTCCACGTGCTCTTACTAGAGAGTAGGGGGGATAAATAAAACATACCCGACTATTCCTCGTGTCATCAGAGTGAAATGTATTATAGTTCGGAGCAACCCACTCGCAGGCAGAACGATACTAACCTTCTCAAACTCGTATATAAGTGGAAGCCACTGATTAGGATATTTCAGTCTAAGATTCAAAAGGAAATTCAAAAATAATCGATACTATTCTCAACAAAATAAATACGATGAGAAAATCTCAGTTTCATATGATCGCGCAGACCGCGGAAGCAAGTGCGATCTATAAGCAAAAAGAACATCGAGTACAATAAAGAACCAAGGGGGCAGCAGCGACAGAAGAAAAGAACCATCTAATGTAGATATTACTCGCCTCAATATGTTCCTGCATTGTCACATTGTACTTCATCAACCATGGATTACATTACAGTTAATTTACCGTGCATAATCTCGACTGTCTATGTCTTCCTGAGATTTGTATAATATCAACTTTAATTAATACATACCCGAGATATAAATTCAGAAAGAATTCAACTTATGTTTTCCTGAATGCAGTGGGAGGCGATATTCATGCACAATGGTAGACTGGCAGATATTCATGCACAATGGTAGGCTGGCAGATATTCATGCACAATGGTAGGATGGCAGCTCACTGGGAGACTATACAGGTTAACACGCTCAACAAGTTCAGTCCACAAGCAACTTTTTAACGTGAACTCATGAACTCATGAGATACATGCACAAACTTGAACATACATGCACTTAAATCAAGACCAGTTAATCCCATGATTAATAAAATCAGTAGAACTTGCAAATATGGCGACAAGATGACAATCCCCAGCATTAATCTCAAAACTCCAAACTGTGACTGATCCATGAGAGAAGAAATCTCGAGTGCAAACAAGAATCACCTCAAATGAATAAGATCAATTAGCATAATGTACAGTTAGTTCTGTGCATATAACAGGATCCCCACTGCAAATTATGAACAAACCCACAAAGAAATCAGGCAGGATACATTATAAAGTAGAAGTTACTTTACACAAAATTGGAATTCTTGGCCGCATCAACTAAACGACCAGCTCCAGCATGAAGGATTTCTGATCTCTCTTTTGAACTGTACATTATAGCCATCCAGATTTGATGGATTCCTTTGGTCCCATTAGAATATGCAAGCAGTCAGATCTCCTTTGTTCGATGAAATACTTGTCATCCAAAGTAATAATAAGACCATCAGGTTCCAGATTGTGTCATGTACTTTTTCTTTTCAGGAATCATGAGATCCTTGGATCATCAAAGTAATGCGCTTACCACTATCCGAGCGAATGCTTTCACCCTTATGCCCCATCTGGAGAATGCAAAGAAACATGAATCCAAATTACCTAAAAATTTTCAAAATATACAAATGAATTCCATGAGTTAATAAAAAATTAAAGGTTACCTCTGTTTGATTTGAATCTGGTGAGAACCAGCGTAATAAAACTCCAAGATGAACAACAGCTGGAATAAACTTGAACAACAATGGAGTCGTTACCTGCACAGTTAAACTCAAATGAAAACCCTGGTAAGAGATTTCCTTTAAATCTATCAGAGCATGAAATGTAAAACATTGGGGAGAATAAATCTTCAGAATTACATCTGCCACATATTAACTCTAATTATAGCCAAAAAGGCAGCGAGGACTTGTTGTACAGACTAGTCATAGTATGATTAATGGACACAACCTCTGCTCCTTATAGTTTTCACTTTTCAGCATTTTGAAGCCTAAATACTACTGTGTTGTATCCGTGATTTTGAGCAAATAGGGAAATACCAAGCTTAAGGCAGTTGTTCCCAATAGTAGCAGGTAAACTTTACCCTGTACAAACAATCAAACTGATGGTTAGTTGACAAATGATTGAAGATTAAAAGCGACAAGGGCCACAAGCATGCGAATAAAAACCATCTGATTTGTAATAAGAACCGCAAACGTAAGAAAATATAGATTCCATTTAATTGAAATTAGGCTTTTGAATGGTAGGTGCAGCTAACAAGATGTTAGAGCCATAACATGCTCCATTTTGTTAAGAAGTTCAGTGTAATTGAAACCAAATAATTAACCACAGAAGCCCCTTGCTGCATAGGAAAGGGGTGTCTTGGAGTCAACTATAAGTCATGAACATAGTTAATTTACGGTGCACATAAAATAAGCTTGTTGACATGAGAGAATG